CCTGCGGGGCAAGCAGTAACGTTCAGAAAGGAGCATCTTGGAATGCGAACTGACTTTATCAGCCCCCAAAAAATTTTATTGGCCCGCAGGCAGGTCAATTCTTGACCTTCTTCCGATGCTCCGACTGTTTCTCTCGAGAAATGATGGTCTCCTCCAGCTCGATGCGAAGCGCATTGTTCTGCATCATCCGAAGGAGAGGTTCTCGATGAGCGGACTCTGTCTTGGTCAAGGCGTCGGAAGGGTTATGGTTATGAGGAACCCATCGAAGTCGACCTTGGCATTGAGCAAGGCTCTCCTGTATTATCGCGATTTCGAGAGCACTTCTGGAATCTTCGCCCTGGGCCTGCTCTGTGTTGGCTCCATCGAAGAGTGATTTAGCATCAGTGATAGCCACCGTCAAGGGATCAGAATATCCCGCAGCTTCGCTAGGGATGACTGTACCTGGTCCTCGTAATCCCAAGGCCACATCGTCAGAAACAGCGATGGATCTTGGGTTGAAGTGGCTTTGCGTGATGCTTTTCCAGAAGGCAATCTGCTTTTCCATCGCACCGAGGGCAGTACTCATTGCAATGCTCTCGCACAAGAGCGTATTTCCAGCCTTGCGCCTCAACTTCCGTGAAGTCCATGATATCCACGAAATTGGCGCGACCCTGCCCGCATTCAGATCCGGAGTCGTCACCGCCTGGATGTATCCGTGTTGTGGCTTGACTTTTCCACTCGGATCAAAGGAGGAGTCAGCGATCAGGAGATGCCTGACGTCCTTCTCATCGATCGCATGGATCTTCAAGCTTACTTCGCGTTCTTTGAGAAGGCCAATGGAGGTGTTGACGCCTATGGCGTCAGCTACTGCGGGGTCCGGAAACGAGCCCGCATATATGCTTGCAGCAGCCGATCCATCTGGCCTCCCCTCGCGCGAAGCCTAAAGCACCCCTCAACTGCTGTTCTTCGTCAGCAGTTAGCCTGGTGTTGAGGGCGTCCTTCTTCAGGATCTTGCGCTCAAAGCGGACGAACTTCAGGCGGTCTCTCACGTACTCGTCCATCGAATACGTGTAGGAGAAGTCTGGGAGTTGACGGATCCTCCGGCCTGCATAGCCGGTTCCTTCTTTCACTCCCATCAACTCGACGATCTTGCCGAACTTGAGCTTGGTCTCCAGCCACTTCATTTTGGCGCGGTGTTCTGACGAACCAGCCCCTAGCAAGTCGTCGACCTCAATGACGATGATGCCTTGAGTGCGGTGGTACGTCTGGCCGTACACGGTCACCTGCTCCTCGGGGTCATTGCTGTCCGCGTCCAGAGGAGAACCCACCTGTCATAGGGGTTGACGCGGTACTTCAGCTCCTTGACCAAGAGCTCGAGCAGACTTCTTCTCCACCAGGCCGGTCCGGAAACGAGACCGACTGTTCGGCTTCGTATCCTGGGAAGGACTCGTCTGACGGCATCCGGCAAGCAAGACGTTGTCGTCTCGTCGTTGGTTTGGCCTGCAAGAATGCGGTTTTGGCATCCTTGGCAAATCCATGCCAGCGCCGCGTCGCCGAAAGTTGACAGAACAGGTACAGGCTGCTGGTCAACGGAGTTGGAGCTGCTCGTTCGATTTCATGTATGCGGGGATCACGCCATCCAACGACGCACCAACGGCTTTTGGGCTCAGCCGCATTGACTCCTTCCCACACATACGTCTCAGGATCCCATTGTTTCGGGAGCACTGACGAGTCCCCAGTAGGTTTCCATCGATCGACATACCGACTCGTGAGGACATACTCAGGGAACTTCTCGGCGAACTCTCGAGACTCCTTGACGGACAGGATCTTAATCGCCCCGGACTTCAAGAGGCTGTCGATCTCCTTATTCCGGCTTTTCCTGAAGATCTTCTTGAACTTTTCGGGAAGGTCCTTAAAGATCACCTCCCCAGGGCTCACTTTCTTCTTGGTGATGAAAAACAGGCGTTCGCTGTTGGAGAAGGTCGCCGCTGAATCCTTGAGGTGGAACTTCTCTTTGGACGCGGCAATGGGCTCCCAGCGGTTATACCCTTGTTTCTGCACCAGCGAACTTGGTCGTTCTCGTCCATGGCCTCCATGAAGAAGGTCGACGTCGGAGGTCGTGGAAGGGATATGGAGTCGGACGTGGTGTCTCCGAGTGTCTGGCGGGTCCAAAGGCCAGGAGCCGCCAGCCCCCTCATCCACTTGTATGGTGCTTGGCCTTCGAGAGGGCTCAGGAGTCGCCGAGGTCGAAGTCGGTGCCATAGTGCTCTGCTCATCCGAGAAGGAGGTACTGCAGGACCTGGAAAAAGCTCAGGTATTCCGGGCATTTCCTCCTCCATGGCCTGTTCTTGATCTTCTCCTTCAGGTATTGGAGGCAGGTCCACTGGCGCTGAGTCTCGAGGAGGATGGTCTTGAGGAGGTAGTTGCGGAGGGTGGTCCATCTCCATGTCTCCGGATTGTGGATGGGTCCTCCTTCCTGCTCAATGTCCTTGAAGTTCTTCAAACGGCCATTCTCCAAGTTCTCCAGAAGCTCCGTCGAAAGAACTCTGATGAGGTCAGCACCCAAGCTTTCGTCCGAAGTGGCACGTCGAACCTGTTCTCTTGAGGCCTTTACCAAATATCCTCGTACGCTCACCCATAGTGAGCGTTGGTTTTCGCTCTCCGCGATCAGGATGCCTGGGCCAATCCAGCCTTTGAAGTCATGGGTGGCCCTCCAAACATACACGGTTTCGCCCACTTGAAGAGGCTTCTGATCCACCATCCTGGTATTCGAGCGTGCTGCTCGGCACCCGCTGCGCCGGGGTGAATCCCGAACGATCGTAGTACATGTTGCGCATACGACAGGCTTCGCTGATCGCTAGCTGTAATTCGAGGTCCGAAGCCACGGTGGTCTCCAAACAGATTTTAGCCAGGCGCTGCTTCCATGCCCCTCCCATCCTTGCGGTTCGGGAGTTCTGCCACGGCGATCTGGCATCCGTGAGGTGAAGAATGGCGCCAGACTCGTTGGTGGTTGCGCAGAACACCTGGCCGACAAACTCTCTCCCCTGCTCACAAACAAGAAGTCGTGGTGAGCCGTAGTGTTTATACCATTCCCCCATCAACGCCGGCAACGTTGATTCTGCGGTACGATCGGGGATCTGGGTCACGACCTGGTAGTTCGTCCCCCAGCAGACCATGTTGAGAAAGACCTTCTTCTCGAAGTACAGGAGGTCCACTCCAATGACATCGTTAAAACCCATGGCCCGTGAGAGGTGAGCAGGTCGATGAGACTGGGGCTTGGCTTCACACCGGCGTGCTTGAGGGCACGGCAGAACGACTGAGTGTCCGGATCGCCCAAATTGCGATGTACTCGATAGAGCTCGCGACGAAGCTCTGGGGCCAAAGGAGGCTCTTCCGGGCGGTCGATCGAGACGTCACGAAGTTCTTGGGCAACCTTTTCTTCGTCGCCTGGCGCCTCATCGTTGTCCTCTGCCTCGTCCGGACTATATTCTGGATCATCATAGTCGGGCCGTTCTTCCGGAAGCATTTGTTCCGAGGGGGAAGCTGCCGACGAAGGCGTGATTGTCGTAGTGGTCGTTGTAGCAGCACCAGCAGAACGTCGATCACGAACACTGCCTCCCAAAATTCTGTGCGAGGGGAAGGCGAGCATGTACTCAGCTGAGAAGGTGACCTGCTGGTGTTGGTACTCGAACAAGACACGCGAAAGAGACTTGGTCAACCAAGCAGCCAAGTCGCGCAAGCTTTGAGGCAACATAACATTCTTGTGGGTCTCGAACCATGTTGTTCCAGTCCAAGGCTGCGCGTCGGGGGACGATGTAGTTGAGCGAAAATCGTCCTCAATCACCTTGGTCACGCCATCAAGGTAGCGCTTGGTGATCACGCGCTTTCCGGTGAAAGAAATCTTGGAGATGTCGTAGCCACTGTCGCGGGGATGTGGAGGAGAGCATCGTGGGCGAAAATGGCGGCAGCACACGTCTCCTTGAGGTCTTGACCAGGAGTCTTCCAGTTCAGGAACATGGAGCGCCTCAAAATGAACATACTTGCGGATGCCCTTGAGGATGGCATCCACGAAAGCATCCGTGTAATGCGCCGACGCTCGAGAAAGCGACCCTCCTTCAATGGGTTGATGTGAATGTTGTTGATCACATCGTTTGCTGAGCGCACGGACCAATGGCTCTATGTTGGTGAGCACAAGGGTAGGCTTCTTGCGCAAACCTCCTCCTCCGTGCAGTCCAAAAGCACACATGTCCAGCTGAATACTGAAGACTTCTCGATGTTGAGCTAAGCTTTGTAATGTCTCCGTCCTCCAACTTTTGGCGCCTTTGGGATGTTCAAAGACGAAGCCACGACCATTTCGAAGCTGAAGGAAAGCCAGAGACACTGCAAAGTCTAAGTGAAGCCGTCCTTGCTGCTCTTCCTCCTGGACTTCCGCAGCGTCCCGCTTGTAGTTGGTCAGGTTTCGCAAAGGAGAGAAGACGCAACATGGAGGGCTCAAAACGATGACGGCCGGCTTGGTGTCCTTAATCAACTTGAGTGCAGCTTGACGGTGGGCTGGCTTTGAAGGGCTTCGAGGCGCCAACTTGATCAGACAGCCAATTGCCAACGTCATTATTCACGTGGTACACGTAGCAGTGAATCGTGTCGTCGGGAGGCTCCTCGGGCTCTGTGGTTTTCTTGGAAGATGCCTTTGCCGAAGACGAGGGCGTTGAAGTAGAAGCTGCCGTCGTAGTCGTTGTCGCCGTAGAGGCTAAAGAAGTACATGGCGTAGCCTCCGACGTTGAGCTGCCAACCCATGTGCCCGGACCAGGAAGCCATTGCAGATGATCACAAGGCTTAACCACGCCCATCCAGGACATTGAAGGTCCAAGGGCCATGAGCCGTGGTCGTTAGGAGAACCATGACGGCCTTCATGAGCCATCCTCTCTGCACCAAGTTCTTTGAAAGGGTCTGCAGTTGTGTACTCCCCGCGCTGGCCACTGAAGACCCATGAAGAAAGATGCCAGCGCCAGGAGGCTTCTCCTTTACTCTTCGGCCTTCACCGCCGGCATCTCTGCGTCGACGGTCTCGTCGTCGGTGTTGATCTCCCATGTCTCCACCGAGGTAGCCGAGTTGACACTGACCGACCTCCGCGTCGGCGTCTTTGACCGCTGTGCTGGACGAAGTCCGGATGAGGTCATCCTTACTCGAGAGGCTGCGGTCGGCGAAGAGGGTTCTCCACCAGGGGGCGTCGCCGCCGCCTTGGCTGGAGGAAGGGACTTCTCCTTTGCCGGTGGTGCCGTCGACGTGGACGTGGTCGGTGGCGGTGACGCCTGGCGATGAGGTTGCGCAACCGTTCGCAGCCTCCCTGTTTGATCCAACTCCACTTGGCGATAGCCTTGTCCAAGACGACCTCGGGGAGCTGGAAGAAACTTCGGGAACTCTTGGCCTTGCGCATTCTTTACCTTCTTCGCCTTCTCGTCCACTTGAAATGAGGTGGTTGCCGTAGATGACGGGTCTTCCTCGGGGCGCTGCCATCTCGATCCGCAGTCCGTGCATGTCCACCAGGTTGCCTTGCTGTTCGCTCGACACCGCAGAGCGTCCGAGCGACGGTTGCACTCTGACGGTTCCTTGTTGAACTTGGCGTGAGCCTTGGATCGGGTCAGTGGCTTGCCCAGACCCTGGTTGACTGGCGCATCCTTCGCCTTCTTCTGGCCCTTGAACGAGGACGTTGAAGACGATGGCGGATTCAGCTCCGGCTCGTTGTTCTTCTTGACCAGCTGATCGACCACCATCTGTTGTCGCGCAGTGGCCAGCATGAGGAGGATAGTCTGCGCCATCCTCTTCCACGTTGCCAAAGCTCGCTGAGTGCCCATCCGACGTTGGGGCTGCGGCTCTGGATACTCCTCCTCCACCATCTGGATCCAACTGCTTAGATGCTTGAGCATATTAGCTATCGGCCACCGAACACGTTGCTCATGGACACAGCTTGCTTCTTCCTCTTCACAGTCTCCATCCTGAAGCTGAAAGAATGTGGGCTTTGACATGTTCTGCACTTGAAATCCAGCTTCCTTCAACATCTTCCACTGATCTGCTGACAGACGAAATGAGTCCCTTATGGTATAGAAGGTCACGGTCTTTTTGGATCCCTTCCAAGGAAGAGTAGCACGCCTGTCTTTTGGGGAGAACTCAAAAATGCGATTCTTGACATCGATTGCAGTGCCCTTGACAATCTTGTTGCCCACCTTTTTGGCTCGAGGGCAGCCGATGTCTGGAAGGTCTTTGGCCAGCCACAACTCGCCTCCAGAAAAGGGACCTACTGAGGCGATGACGTTCATGCCTTGGTTGTGACTGTCCTTATGCACTTTGGCGGACACACAGAACGAAATCTGGAATGATGTCCATCCCTTGTAGCTAGTCTCAAAGCTTTCGGGGATGTTCGCCTTGGCCCACAAGTTAATGTACTTGCACAAGCACGGGAACTTGTTTGTGAATTGGGTTACCCCTGCCACTCCACCATGACAAAGGCTCCTCCAATTGCTCGTTTAGAGGAAGCTGACTGACTCGACATCACACTCCGCCTGCCATCGTGACCAATTGACGAAGGCAACATGCCGAGGAGAACATCCAATGTCTCATATTCAAAGTCCTGCTTCGTGGCGAAGTAGGCCGCCATGTACTCCACGGACTCTTCCGGAGCCGACGTAGGAGACGGCGTGGAAGTCGTAGAAGTCGAAGTGGCGCATGCCAATGAAGCCACCGAAGTCGAAGCCGCCGAAGTCGAAGAAGCGCATGTCCATGAAGCCGCGGAACTCGACTTTGACGTCCTCGCGCGTGCCGACGTCGAAGCACTTGTAGATGCCGATGCTTCTGCCTGACCAAAATCTTGTTCGGCATCGGCTGGGAGTAGGACGAACGGATCGGCCTTGTTGTTGAGAAGCTTGCCGGGAAGCTGCCAGGGACGGTCGAAGCGCAAAATGTCAATGACTCGATGACCAGAAGGCAGACGAATCATCGGAGCGCAGTAGCCGTCGGAGGTGCTGTAGGAGTCTCTGCCAAAGTCCAGGATGGCGCCGACGGCCTCTAAGTAGGAAATTGGGAGCAGCGGTGGGGTCTGGAAGGAAGCACTATCCTGCAGCACAGTAAAACGTAAGACTCCATGGAGGCCAGCAATGGAAGTGGGAACGTCTACCAAACCCAAAGCGGTTGCTTCGCCTCCGATCCCCGCACATGGGATCTGGTTCTCCGACTTCACGTGGACAGTCTGCAGGAAGTGCTTCTTCAGAGCTTCCTGAAGCTGCTCCAACGCTTGCGACCCGATGACTGCATCTTCTGCCGCTGTGTCAACGATGGCCTCGCACCCTTTTACTCGAACGCCAGCAAAGACCTGAAGGTGCTCGGGACTGGGGGTTGCGCATGACAATGCTTTAGTCGGAAATGTCATGAACACGGAACTCCCACCAGTGCCAGAGCCTCTGCTGACGATGAAGTTCACCTTCTTGTTGTCGGACTTGGAGTTGCCCTTGCCGCCACCTTTGAGCGGGCAGTCCCGCGCAAAGTGACCCAATTCCTGGCAGTTGTAGCACCGGGTGCGAGCCGCCAAGTCCTCGGGCTTCCCCTTGATAAGGTTTGGTGATGCCTTGTTGCCATTTGCCTTCTGATCCTTGCGGTTGGGCGGCCTCCCTTGCCTCGATACCCTCTGGATGGAGGCCTGTTGTGCTTCACAAAGCCTCTCTCCTTCTTCCGATCTCGCAAGTCACGACGAACATCAGAGTATGCGGTGTGGTAGGCCTGGATGTAGATCGCCCCCTCTTCGTCGTAGACCTTGTCTTCAAAGGTGAGGTCGTCATCATCCTGGGACGTCTGTGACTCACTTTCCGCAGACTCGTCATTGTCGTCGTCGTTCGGCTCATCCTGGTCATCGTTCTCCTCGAAATCGCCCTCCATGGAATCCCTGTTCATCACTGGGTAACTGCGAGTGGCCGCCTGTCCCAAAGATGTCCCTGCTGCTTGCGCAAGGAGCTCAGGTCTGTCCAAAGGACGAAGGATGGCCGCAACCTGATCGAAGGTCAGCAACTGGCTATGGTCCCTTAAGGCAAGGAGCTCGCGCTGAAACTCGGTAAGATCGGCCTGTCTCAGCAACACTCGACCGGCAACCTTGTCATTCAGACGTTCTTGAAGATGGCTTTCAACTTCTTGTCTTGCGACCTCCTTGCCAGCGATATAGTTGGCGAACGACTCTCCTTTGGCTCGCTCCCCGGTGTAGAGGAATCGGTCGATTGCTGCAGGGCCTGCTACCTCCAGGAATGGCCTGTACTTGGCGATGATCGAGCTAAGAACCAAGCTGTAGCCATCCGCGCTCAACAGCTCTTGCATCCCTATCTGATCTGCAATTTGTCGAGGCTTGGAACCTTCTGGGAATGATTGGTACAGCCGAAGTCCCCACTTCTCTCGAGGAACCGTAGACTCTATTTCCCAGTACGCAAGCAGCTTGAGCCAGCTTCTCATCGTTGCAGGTTGACCATTCCAGGTAGGCAGAGGCCGCTTCTCACCGGAGATCGCCTGGATGAATCTCTCGCCTTGGTCCAAGTTCACAGCTGTCCTTGCTGGAGGTCCGACGCCAAGAACTTCGAAAGCCGATCGAACCTTAGTTGATCCGACTGGAGGCGCAGTGGTAGCGTGTGGATATTGTGCTCCAAGACTGGCGGCGGCCGCAGCAGCCAAAGTAAAGGTGGTAGGCATTGCCGAGGCTGTCCTACCCGAAGCATCAAGAGGATTTCCTTGAGGAACTCCCTGAAACGAACTGTATGGCATTGAGGTCCTTAAAGGAGTACCCGTAGCCAGAAAAGGGGGCCCAACATTGGCTTGCCCAAAACCACTTCCATATCCCATATTGGGAGGAAAGTTGTACATGCCGAACTCAATGCCTGAAGAAGAAGAACTCTGAGCTTGCGACTGCCACCCTCGAGGATCCATTGGATTGAAGGTGCTTGCCACTCCGGCAGAGCCGCAAGGTGTCGTTGCGTTCCGGAATTGCCCGTGAACTTGCGGATGATCAGGTAGTAGGCGCTGAACACCATCGACACCGGGAGCTCCATGAACTTGCGGGGAATCAACTTGAAGGGAACCTACTCCGCGCCCAGCGCAGCCGCCGTCGTCCTGACGGTTTGCCGTGGCACGCCCAGCAGCAAACTCTGCCCAGGGGTCC